TTTTATAGGAATAATGACTGTGACTTTTTCTCTATTGGTATAGCTTGTTAGATCTGGATTGATGTTTGTACTGCCAGTCAATCATATGCTTCATGAGTATATTGATTTATCTGTGACACACACGACAGCCTGACTTTGGTTTTAGATTGGCTGTGATGGTAGTGGCCGTACCTTTCAGTTTGACAATACACACATGAAAACATATGTCTGACGTCCTCCTGGATTGTGGTGAATATGTGGAAAACTAAAGTTCAGTTAGTGACGCAAAAGAGTAATTCAGTTGGAATGAGCTCAAGCAAAGGATCGAGTGATACTGCTTCTGTGACAGGAGATGCTCAAATGGCTTAATAAGGTTCTGAACAAGTGGAAAGGTTTGCGTGTGGAAAAAGTGCACACTGAACATTTGAATGAGTCTGTTGAGCTTGTACGTTTGTTGAAGTGTTGAATCTCCTATATCCTTTGTTCCAGGAACACCAAGTAGCTAGTCATGGATAACTCTCCAAAACCCTTTCTTGTTTGAGCAGCTTTCTCTGTTCTTCTAGTGCATCTGCTTTCTCTCGAGTTCAATCTCATCTTCTTCCTTTCCTTTCCTCCGGTTGAGTGTCATGATATCAAATATGGAGCGCAAATGGAAAAGGTGTGTTTTTTGGCCTCCTGGGTAGGCATGTATAAAAATAGAAATGTGCTATTCACAATGAAACCCTTTCCCGTCTCATATGCATTACACCCTTTCAGCTGGGTTTTTTCCAAAGACTTAAATATCAAGACTAATTACCTCATGGACTAAAAACTAGCTGGTTCAGTGGGAGAGGAAAGGGTTGCACCATGTTTCACTTTAGAGAGCTTAGTGGAAAGTTAATATACTCCCTGCACACACACACACACACACACACACACACACACACACACACACACACACAGTAATTACTTTTAATAGTAACATTTCCACACAGCATACCGAAATATGACCAATGATACATATTCTGAGGAGTTTAGTACTTATGTTAAATCCAGATGTTTCCAAAAATGTTAAAAACCAAGAGAAGTCTTTAATTGTAATCATGCTTTCGTTTTCAAAAGGTATACAGTTAAATAAAATATATATAGTATGGATGTTAGAGGTTCATTTGAGACACACACACACACACACACACACACACACACACACACACACACACACACACACACACACGAGATAGACACCCAGACATTTTGATGCTGCTGTGTTTCTTGCACTCCGTAGCGTTGATAGTCAGATGACTTGCTACGTGCTGCTCACATTTGCATATGAATGAGGACATCTCCTTAATGCTTAATGTGGTTTGTGAAGACAGGTATATAAATAGTTTCTAAAGAATGTATTAATCATCTTAATTAGTGAGCTCATTAGCATGGCAGCTTATGATTAATATATCATGTGTTATTATAGTGGGATGTTAAGCAGCAAGTGGCCCTTCTTGCATTTTAGTGGATGAACAGGTTGCTCTCACCCTCATGGCTGCAACATGTGAGGAAACATATGTTGTGATTATTGTTTTCTTCTATAAATGATCAGACGAAGTGAATTGAGTTCTGCTTTTCTTCCACTTTCACTTTGCTGCTATTATACAAGAAACTGCTTGGTCAAATGGAAAAAAAAGGGAAAGGAAATGATAAGTTCTCCACATACTCTCTCTTCCTACAAAGTCAAAAATTCCCTTGGGGCAATATTGCATTCTTTAACAATGTTTTTTCATTGACATTGCTCTGCCAGTACATTTATATAAAGTTCTTATGTTGTGTTCCCCTACTCACTGTACATGTCATGACCTTTAGTCCCCAGTGTATAAGTATGTTGGAGTATACAGTATTATAGGCCATGGAGAGTCATAGGTCTGATAGTCTGCTGGTTGTGTCTTGTCTGATAAAGAGCTCTACTGCTAGAACTTGTACGTAGATCAACAGTAGAGCATGTACTCGGTGTGTATCCTGTGCACGGTGATGCGTGGCTGGTCAATGCTGCTGATCAGCCCCGCGGCGCTGAGTGGCTCGATGGGGGTGAAGGGCGCTGTGTCCTCTGGGATGGAGGCGTATAAATACTGGAGCTCTGGTCTCCCACTGCCTGCTGGAGTGGGCATGAAGAGCAGTGTGCGCAGAGGCAGGACGAAGAGGCAGGACGAAGAGGCTTAGCGGGGCTTTGAGAGGCTGAGAGGAGGTACCACAGGTGAGGCTCTGCAGGAGAGGAGGTGTGCAGATAGAGAGGGAGGCTAGTGTGTGAGTTTGTGATGCAACTTTTAGTGTCTACTGATCTAAAGGGTGGAAGGCATGTCGAGTTTCAATGTTGTTTTTGTGCAGTTGGGATCGTGGCAAGAGATTACAAATGATATATCAAAGATTTGTTTCTATCAACCTGTTTGCTTTTTGACCCAAAAATCAAGCACTTGAATGATAAGCTTCTTAGCCATTTTGATCCCAAGTTGTCAAAGCTTTGCAATTGACCATCTCTTCAATGTGGGTCACGGGATACTCCATGTTGGTCATTGATCTCTGTTGATTGTAGCACAGTAAAGCAGGTCACTGATTTCCTAAACTGTAAAACTATCAATTCTCCTCTGCCCTAAAGCTCTAAATCCCAGAATAATTAAAACTGTACACATAAACCATGAAAGCCTGACACAGACATTTTCTAAAGGATTAGATGAGAAGCATGTTATAATGGTTATATTATATTATTCAGAATTGATAGAGGAATATAAATATAACTTCAAATAATGTGGCAATTTTTCAACATGCAAACAAATAAAAACATTTATAGTAATTGTTGATTTTGGAGTGACTGAATGAAATCTTTGGGCCGATTTTGTGATTTGATGTGTTTAACTTTGATGTTTATGAAATAATGAAATGTCTCACTGCATTATGTTACTGCAGCTGGCACAGATACTCTTTTTTGCTGACACTTACTTTGGCTGGACTGGTGCATCTCCGCTCGTCTGTGTTTAACACTGAGTGGAGCGATATCAGAGGAACTTATAACATAAGGGATCGCTGTTATGGCAAGAAGTCAAAGCAGCATTGTGTTCGCAGACTGTGGAACCGGCAGCCCTCAAGGTGCTGCTCTGATCACTATCCTCTCTCTAGGCACTCTCTCTGTTCTGCAATCATACCATTTCTTCTGGTAAATGGTATGTTCTTTCATATGTCGTTACTTTGACTTCATTTAATCTTTTTTTTCTATTTTTTCCATTTTCTGTCTTTTCTTCATTTGTCTTTTCTGAACACATTTACTACTCCTTTACTCTCCCGGCTTTTGAACCTCATGCACCTGATCTCCATCTGGCGGCGGCCTTTCTCCTCCGGCCTCTCCCTCCCTCTTCTTGACCCTGATCAACCTTCTCACCCGTGTGCTCCCTTCTGGTTGGAGATTGCAAAGTTCACTTTAGCTCCAGTTGCGATGGAGGACAGTGACCATGAGGCGCACTCATCAGACGAGCATAACTCCTGCCCTGCCTCCCCTAAACACAGCATACCAGACCATGACCCTGAACAGGTACCGGTGACACCTCCAAACCCCTCAACTACCAATGAGATGAGACAGTATAGGCCTTCAGCTGACTTTAAATGGCATCATTGCGTTCTTTAGGGCCCCTGCATTATTTATCTCTGTGCTCGACTAGCTTTAGTTTTTAGTAACATGAGTCTAGAATAGCGATAGCAGCCTACACCTCAGCTGTGTATCCTCTTACTGGAAAAACTACACTTTTGTTATTTTTTATTTAAGCTTAGTGTGTATTACATCTAGAAATCCAGGGATGAAGAAAAACGTAGCAACCCTAATGCCTGAAATTGCCCTATTAATGTAATAACAACCATAAAAAGGCCTTTTCTTGCCTCACATTAGCTCTGCAAAAGTTCTGATGTGTCAGGAGATTTATGATCCTTGTGTAGGAAAAACTCACTCTCCTCTTTCGGGAATGTGGAGTTAAATGTACGCCCCAAGTATAACAGCTCATTCAATATTAGTGATAAAATAACACTTATCCACTGAGATAAATGTCTGGGATTATATTTCACCCCTTACATATTGTACTCATAAATGATTATAGAAAGTGACTACCAGCTGCATTGCAATTATATGTTTTTTATTATTTACCCTCACAATAAAGCTATAGCAACCGTTTCTAAGAGTTTAACACATTTTCCACCGTCTTGATCTCCTCTCTTCCACATCGACACTTGACCTTTCCTCCACCTCCACCTCCACCCTCTACTTGTTTCCACATATTCCTCTTCCCCTCCTAAACCTCCCCCTTCAACCGTGGCATCCCTCTAGCATTCGGACCATTCAGACGACTCCGAGGTGGAGAACTTTATGCAAGACCCTCACCACCAAGGAGAGCACGACCACCATGACCACCATGACCACAAGCACCACCTCCATCACGACCATGAGCCTCACGATGCAGGCAGGGAGGCTGAGGGCGAAGACCGCCCCCACACCCCGTCATATTTGCGTCCCCCTGTGGCGGGCAGGGCTCAGTCGGATTCAGGTTCAGAGCCCTGTTTCCCAAAGAGCAAAAGTGTGGAGTTTGACTTGCCGTGCCCCGTCAGCCCCCCCAGACCCAAGAGTCCCTGGGCTCGATATGACCCGTACGACAGTAATAAGGTAACACAAGGACATAAACCCACTGAGATGTTTGTGTTCAGTTCTGCTGTCAAGGCGATGTTTGTTTGTGTCGCTCACTTCAGACTGATGACGACAGCTTGACTGATCCTGTGCCTTAAACTAAAAGTTGCTTTATGTGGTTATCAACAAGGTTTAATTGTGCTTATTTCCTTCTGGTGGAACAGGATGTGATTAGGGCTCTGTGATGTTGTGTTTGTTGTTTATTCCGGTCTCACACCTTTTGTAGGAAATATACCTTAAAACCTATTTTTGGAGAGGTTCAAATGGCGCTGAATATTGATAGTTTTATGGTCGTTTTGGCCTTCCTGATGTGGTGTTCAATTTGTTTTTTTAGGACCAGGACAAGGAATACGTGGGCTTTGCGACGCTGCCAAACCAGGTGCACCGTAAGTCAGTAAAGAAGGGATTCGACTTCACGCTCATGGTGGCAGGTAAACCCTCGTTTGCAGATTAGTAGATATTTGATCCTAAACCCACCTTTTACTTTGAAGAAAAGCCTTAAACCTCGCTCTTTTCGTCTTTGTTTTTCTTTGTTTGAAGGGGAGTCTGGCCTGGGAAAGTCCACCCTGGTCAACAGTCTCTTTCTCACAGATCTTTACAAAGATAGGAAGCTGCTCAATGCTGAAGGTAATGCAACCACAGCCTTTGATATATATACTCACTTTCTGACATGATTTTGATGAATTAGCACTTCAACGTGTCAAAGTTAATGTTCAAAAATGTGTCTTTTTTTTCTCCTTTTCCTAGAGCGAATAACACAAACAGTAGAAATCACCAAACACACAGTGGATATAGAAGAGAAAGGTGTCAAACTGAAGCTCACCATCGTCGACACACCCGGGTTTGGGGATGCTGTAAACAACACTGAATGGTACTTAAAAATGTTTAACGAATCATCTGATATCTAAGAAAATGACCAATTTGATAAGATTCACAGAGCACCGCAGGGTAGCCCTTTTGTTCTGCTGTGTTTAAAAATGCATGTGCAGTAGCTCAGCTGTTGCAGTGTTGCCTCGGAGACTGAACGTCCCTGTGTGTTTTATCTCTAGCTGGAAGTCCGTGGCGGACTACATCGACCAGCAGTTTGAGCAGTACTTCAGGGACGAGAGTGGCCTCAACCGGAAGAACATCCAGGACAACCGCGTACACTGCTGCCTCTACTTTATCTCACCCTTCGGTCATGGGTAATGACAAATCCGCAGTGCTCTCATTAGGATTAGTCTAACCTCTCTCTCCTAAATTACTCCGAACAATGGGGAACATTAACCCCTCTCGACTGCAGTAATGTCTGTGCTGGCCTTTGCAGACCAGTGACACAGCACTTTTCCCCCTGCACACACACCAGAACACACCACCTGAGTAATTGATCATACTGGACCAGTATTTAACTTCAGTGCATTCAGCCTCATTATTGTAAAAGCAGTGCTCCTGTCAGAGTTAAAGCACTTCTCAGCTGCCTTCACGGGGATTTAGTGCGTCCACTGCAGTGCTTTAGCTCGAATCAATCCTTCGTGCTGACTTGGTGCCTTTTTGCTGCCGTTGTGCACATGCACTGTTCCACATAGCTGTGCTCATTAAAGAACAAATATTCTGCGAACCTAAGTAATGCTGCAGTGCATGTTCAGAGTCACTGTGATGGAGTAACTGCTCCATCTGTTGATGAGCTTCAGTCATTACTGATCAGATACCAGGAGGTCACATAGAGAGCAAACCTCCACCGCAGTGATCGACCAGAGACATCGCGTAATGTCTAACAGTACATTTTATGATTCTAGTGTGCCACTAAAGTCGGGATAAACATTACATTATTTAATGATGTATAGAGAGATCAGACACACCACACACTTCTGCTGGGTCATCAGTGATGATTGAGAGGGATTATTTCTGTAAAGATCTATGCATTTCTTTTGAGTAAATCCTCATTGTGGCTTTAATGCTATCGAATGTTTCTTGTCTCTTTTAGCCTCAGGCCTTTGGATGTGGAGTTTATGAAAGCTCTACATGAGAAAGTTAACATCGTCCCCATCCTGGCAAAAGCAGACACACTCACCCCTAATGAGGTCAAGAAAAAGAAAATCAAGGCAAGGCTGATCTTTCAGATCTGATCTGGAAACACTGTTGATCTCTTTGATCCCATGAATGAAACGTCTTTCCCATTTTCACTGTGTCCTTTCTCCATTGACCGCTCCCCCGTAGATCCGAGAGGAGATCGAGCAGTACGGCATCAAGATCTACCAGTTCCCCGACTGTGACTCTGACGAGGACGAGGACTTCAAGCAGCAGGACCATCAGCTGAAGGTGAGAGCCCAGTCCATCGTGTTTTACAACGTTTGGGATTCACAGGCTGTTTAAAGTGGACCTATCATGCTATATTTGAATAATATAGTGTAGGACCATACCTATATAAGGCATATTTAGACTTTTTTTTTTTCAAAATACCAAACAGATCATGCATTTTAGCCATGCCTCATTTCGCTCAATTTGAAAAATGTTAGCTCTGTTTTTGCAAGGGCAGATTCAGTGAGAACAGCACCACCTACTGGCCTGGCATATGTACTACAGCGTCTCCAGCGCTTTCGAACGGCAATGGCCGTGGCTGTCTCCTCCTGATTGGTGGAGTTGGCCCAATAGCCGTAGCGCCACCGTCCTGACGTCAGGACAGTGTTCAAATCTGGATCAGTTTTTATCAGATCCGTTGCAGCCCCTTTTTTAGAGATTTGCGTATGGAGGAAAATAGAGAGGGTTGTGTTTTCTGACACTTGGTGAGTTCCCTGGAACACCGGGGACACATATTCATGTATAAAAGACGTACAAAAGTGCATTTTGCATGATAGGTCCCCTTTAAGTCAGAAGTGCACACTGAATGCTTACACTGTTCAGTCAGTAAACAAGATAGAAATCACTGATAGCAAGTATACCATCATACATTTGTATTCTCATTTTACAGGATTTTCATTTTTAGAAGCTTTTGTTTTCATGATCAAAACTGAGAGAATACTAGTTTGCGTTGTCTAGTTTAAAAAATGCGTAGCTGCTGGGTCAATCGTGCCTGAATCAAATCATTATTGTTGTGATTAGTTGAGAGCAAAACCATACCATTTATTTGGGGGTTTTTCTAGATCTTTGAACATGCGGGTATCATTTGGGAAAGTTTTGATACCTTTTTCTATTAGTTTTTTTCTGCCAATAGGGATATCAAGTACTGCAGCCTCAACGATTACCCAGTTATTATAATGTAATGATGTTAAAATCAAATACAAACCAGACCATATAAAACAAGGCAGTCAATCCACTGCTGAACACACACTCTCCAGGACTTAAGTGTTTTGCTCTCCTCGCATCATTAGCTCGCAGCGAGGCAGTATTTCTCTCTTTCTTCTGATGTGTTAACTGCAGCAGAGAAATGACAAAAGGGAACAAAAGATCAAATAATCAAAATAATGAATGGGAAATTATGGTTAATTTGACATAAAAACGTAATGTAGTTTCATTTGAGAGTCCGCTGAAGTAAGCAATTCATGTAAGATGGCTTTATAGGAGGCTAATGTGTAAAAGTAAAAACACAACAATAAAAAACATCTGCAGTGCACCACTCACTGGTCCAGCCTTAACTCATCTACACCCTCCCCAAACAGATCTTTTGTAAATGTCATTTTAATTTCACGATCCTTCTCTGTTCTCCCAACCAGGAAAGCATCCCCTTCGCAGTGATCGGCAGCAACACGGTGGTGGAGGCCAAAGGGAAGAGGGTGCGAGGCCGACTCTATCCCTGGGGCATCGTAGAGGGTAAACCTGTTCCCTTTTTTTCCATCACAATGTAATCGATTTGTAGTAACAGAAGTTAAACAGCCTGTAAAAACGCTGTATGGAGGTTTCATTGATGTACAAAGAGAAGGTGCTGTGTGTGTGTTTTCATCTCTTGCATGATTCAGTACCAGCAGACTTTTTCAGAATATTTGTCGAATTGGTCCTCCCTCTTTGTTTTGCAGTGGAGAACTCGGCCCACTGTGACTTTGTGAAGCTGAGGAATATGCTCGTCCGTACGCACATGCAGGATCTGAAGGACGTGACCCGGGAGACTCACTACGAAAACTACAGAGCTCACTGCATCCAGAGCATGACCCGCATGGTGGTCAAGGAGCGCAACCGCAAGTACGCTCACACAGAAGCAAGCACACACACCTGTACATACTGCATCAAGTGAAGAAGAAATATGAGACATTTTAATATCAGAATAATAAACTATTCAGGATCAGTATCAGGAGAAATCAGTAAATAATCTGTAAAAGTTGTTTTTTGAATTGATTGTTTTTTGATTGCTCCTGTATTAACATTACCTCTAACCTTTTAACCTTAGATGTATGTAGGTCACTAATATCCTGATTCCTCTAAATGTCTTTCTCTTATTTTAATACACTATTTTTGTACTTTTTGTTATAGTGGAACAGAAATGAACAGGAGAACTGAGCAGACATTTCAACAGCGGTAATAAAATACAGCTCACATTTTATCAGAAGTTAGTCTTGTGTCAAGTTATGTTCATATTAATCCAAGGAAGAAAGAGAGGCATACAGTAAATACAAATCACCAACAGGGCATCCAGTAATAATCCCTACCTCAGTCATGAAGTCCTCAAAGAGAATTAAAACACATACTCGGTGAAAACCCTGAAGAAATGGAATCACAGAAAATAAATTGGAGAATGATTATACATTTGGTAAACTGGTTTCCCCCCAACTTTAAGTATTTTTGTTGATAATGTTTCTATATACAGCCAGTTTGTAAAAAATATGTAAATACAGCAATACTTTCATCAGTGGACCTTGCACTGAAAAAACTGAAAGGTTGACTTTAATTGAATGTATTATGTCAACAGATTACACATAATTTAATTAGGTAAATTGAAAGCAATACTATAAAGTTGAACCTAATATTGTTTTATTCAAACGTAATATTACTGCTCAAAAATTATGTGGAATCTGTTGATATAACAAACGTAACTAAGGTCAACGGTTCATTTTTTTCAGTGTAGGCTCAATCACCATTTGGTTACTTCCTTCAGGGATAGATAATATAATACTTAGTTTGACATCCTTGAGATTCAAAAACGATTTCACCAGATACTTCCTTATGTTATGTGTAATATACATATTCATATGTAATAACCATTTTGTCAACACATTTTTGCTGTAAAGTGTAAATTAGCTCTGTCAACTGCATTTGGTAGAGGGCAACTAATTACTGAGTGCCAGAGGTAGATTTAAATAAAACCATGGGAGGTACTGTTTAGATAAGTTTAGATTATGAACGTGATAAGATCAGCCACAGCTGACGTTTACCTGGTGTCGGCTTTGATAGTTTGGAATAGGACATTTACTTTTGGGCACCATGACATTGATAGACTCTACACAGAAACACGTGAAGTGTATCTGCTGCCAAACAGCTTCCATGCTCAGTGTCTTTTACAGATCAGCAGTTAAATCCCTCTTTCACTATGACTAGCCAATGACATATCAGATCCAGATGCAGCTTTGTGATACAATAAATGTAGAATTTCTCTGTAACGTGTTTCTCTCCGCAGTAAACTCACCAGAGAGAGCGGCACGGACTTCCCCATCCCTACGGTGCCCGGAGTGGACGATGAGACAGAAAAGCTCATCCGAGAGAAAGACGAGGAGGTACGGCGCGCTGAGTGCCAGAAGGACTCACAGCACCAACACGAGTCTGAACACAGCCACGAGCACTCAGAGCCTCAGCCCAGCGCTGAGACACACGCAGAGCACAGAGATATCTCTGATGAAGCCCTCTGAGAGTTCTCACAGATAATGTTCATATATAAGATTTATTGGAAGCACACTCAGGTCATGTTTTCTGAGGTTGACAATGAGTAGCCTGGAAAACATGGATTAGTGTCAATTCAAACCCCTTCTCCCCTCTCCTTTGGCCCTTTGAACTGTCTGTGGGTAGGAAAAGAGAATCCTTCATAATCCCATTTTAAAAGTCAGCTTTTATCCCTGTTAGTTCAAGCTTGTTCCATGGAAAGTTCTTCAGACAGTGCGGAAATCTAAAAATATTAGTGGAACTAGGCACTTACATTTCAACAATCATTTGTTATACCCCAAGAGCTAAATACAATGCGTTTGAAATATGATGTACATTGTTTCTTTTGGCATTTGGTTAGTAAACATATTGTTAGAGTAAATATCATTAAAGTAATTATAATTATAGATTTTAGGCTCCACATATTTAAATTCATCATATATTTTCCTGTTGCGGTATCTGAAGATGAGCAGACAGCCATACAGTTAGTTTTCATTTTGATCAAACACAGACTTTTTGTTTCCAGTTCCTTCCCTTTCCCCACAAAATCCATTTATTTTATCAAATAAAGAGAACATTTTTCCTCAATTGCTTTTATTTTTTTTTGTACAACAAACACTAAAATGTGGTTAAAACATGAACAAACAATTGATCAAATAATCGGAAATGTTTTCGATAGTAGTTTCAGTCATTGTCCAAGCACAAAAGCTACACACTTCCCCTTTCCAGCTGGTCAAAAGAGTCACATTTTTTGTTTGCTTTTCCTTGTCTTGGATTAACATTAATATGTTTTGGTTGTTCAGACAACAAGACATTTGTGAAGTCAGTGTGGGCTGTAGGCAACAGTGATGGGTAATTTCTTACTGTTTCCTGAGCAACTTATTATCAATTGATTTCAATATCAGTGAATTGGGCAATTAGTTTAAGATTCATCCGTTAATCAAAATAACTGACACTTCGCAATCTCACTTTTTGTTGGGAAAATTGAGAAGTGGAATGTTTTGTAGTTGGGTGCTGTATTGGGCACATAATCAACTACAAAAAAAAAATCACACCACAAAACTGTTTGTGTTTGTGCCACAGTTTAACTGGATTCCCAAAAACTTCAGATCAGTTCTTCCGATTCTTTTAATGCCTTTAAAACCAAACAATTCAGCATGATGAACGAGATAAAATAATGTGTTGCTGCTTCTGTAATATTGAATACTTGAAGTTGTCAGCGGCTCACTGCGGTTGTTCAGGTCACGTGATCTAGAAAGTCTGATTTCCCGGGTGTTATTGATTAGTTGCCTGTGCAGTCACGTGTACATAATGAGCCTGTATAAAAGGCTGGATACCCAGATTTCCCATCGCCATGAATGCAACAGTAGATGACTCGGCACTAACTGTTGTCTCTTCTCTCCTCACAGTTGCGGCAGATGCAGGAGATGCTGCAGAAGATCCAGGATCAGATGCAAACTCAGAAAGACGGCTATTAACACAGGACAGTGTCTCTCTGTAACTGGGATGAAAAGATTTAAGAAACACAGGATACCTTTTGTCCCTTTTCAAGAACATTGACTTCCCTCTCTGTCCACCCACCTCCACCTCGTCAGCAGCGACCTTCTCTCGGATCAGGGACCTGCGAGGAGGCGGTGCGATGTTCTCACGTCTGCAGCTTCCTTTATCCTCTCTGACTTTACCACTGCTGCAAAACACTCCACCCTGTTCTTTCAAAAAATATAATTTAATGATAAGGATGGTTGAAGAGCAGCCTATGCTGCGATCTGATTTTCCAAACATCTGATTTGTTAGCCACATGATCACAGGGTTGTTTTATTACATGAAGTCTGATATGAGGTTTACATGTGGGGACCTGCTCAGATTGTAAAGCACAGATTTCTGGTGCAAGTGTTTATTTCTATTATCTATAGGTCAACATGCATACTATTAATAATTTAATTTTCTATATGAAACTCAGAAAGATTTTTCTTCAATGTGTTCCTGGTTTTATTTGGACTTCACTGCCTGATAGTACGTATGGTTGATTGTTTTATGTTCATTTCCCTTCAGCTGAGGTTCCTGATTATTCATTTGTTAAGATTCATTTTGATTTAGTGTAAGTGTCTGCATGTTTATCATTGGTGCCACCTCTGCTGCCTGACATCATGGATGCTCAACGATGGCCAGTCTTAACGCACTGCAACGCTAACTTATTGCCATATCAACGTTAAAATAATCTCACTTTTTACATGACAAATTAGTCCTTTATTGTTTGGAGAATTCCCCCAAAACAGAGTTGTTTCAAAGTGATTTTCTCTCCTGATAAAACCACCAACTGTTCACATGTGAGAGCTGATGATAGGACTTTGAATATTAGGCTTGCATGAGAAGGGCCATGCAGTGTATTTATTTGTGCATGTGTGTGAAGGTTTCTCTGATTGCAGATCAATTTAGTGATCATAAGGTTATTTATGGGCAATGAAAAATATGTAGCTACTTAGTTGTTGTTGATATTGAAAAGAGGTGGATTTTTTTTTTGTCTTCCGTTTGGTATAATTTTGTGAAGGGAACTCATGAGTTGTGTGCTAACCTTAATGTTTATCGTATAACCAAAGCCACAATGACCAACTTCATTTTCCAACATTGATTTTTGTTTTGTGTTGACATGAAGAATAGGACTTGTCAAAGCCAAGAGTAATGAACACATGTATTGGATGAACTTGATTCTCTTGTTATATGTACTGTTGTTACCCCTTTTTTGGAAATTAGTTAACTCCGCCATGTTGCGTGACCTTTGTTATGTAAAAAAAGAATTACATTCCTCGAATTCTGTCCCAGAGTCAGGTATTGCTATTGTTTCTGAATTTGTTTTATATTAAATTTGTCTTTTGTTATCCTGCTTTTTGGAGTATATTTATGTAATAAAATTATAAATAAAATGAGGATGGAGAAGACAATATGTACAAATTCTAATATTGTAATAAAATATGAATATCATTTCATGTCTCCATCTGACATTGGGTTTTGCTTTTATGTTGTGAAAATGTAGGCAGAAGTGAATGATGTGGCTTGATTTGAATAAATAATTTAACCTGTAACACATTTTATTAACTATTCCTATACGACATGTTCACTACATTTTCACCACCTATAACAGACAGTTCATTACAAACTGTCTGTTATATGTGCCTTTATTTTTATGTTACAGAACCCTGGCAGCTGCAGGTTTTCATTTGACTATTTTCTATAACATACTATGACTGTTTTTATTTTGTGATGGCAAACTAAAAATACTTTTTATTTATCGTTTTAAGGAATACAAAAAAAAACGGAACACAAGAGGGTTTAATAAATATACCAAGCTGGTCCAAGGTATTGGAGCCTTCAGGAATAATGAATAATATTTTTCTTCTTTAAGTCCACAATATCTTTCTCTTAAAAAAAAGAAAAGGACTTTTTTTATTGGATATAGCAGGAAACATAAATACAGGAAGGGGGATAGAGAGGGGACAACATGCACAATTCAGATTTGAACTCAGGGCCCTGCCAAAATGATTTTTACCAGGGTGCACACACTACCAGACTGAGCTACAAAGTTAGCTGCCTTCCCTCAATCATGTTTTAACAAGCATGAACCGTCACAAAATAAGTGAGCTGCAGATCTCGTGCAATTCGGCTGAGATACATATGATTCTCTCCACAAGTTAGAAAAGTCGATAGTTGTTTTTTGTCTATTGATTCAGGCTCTGATCACCTATGTGTGTCTTTATGAAACAGACTGACAGACTTCAATAGTCTACATGTGAGACAGTTTTAATACACAGCTCTCTGAAGGTTGACAGGAAATTAACAGCTTCAGTCGGATCTTTTGTTGTGTCGAGATGGTCCATTAGAGAAGTTTAATGACCGCTGAGGCAGGGACACAGGTTCGAACCCCGCATCAGGTGTGCAACAGAAAAGTATGTTTAGTTTACACTAAAACTTCACCACGAAAGGCTGCAATCGTCGAGATTTTGCGGCGATTTCAACTTGCACATTTCCGAATTTATAAAAAAAAGTCCAGAAGAGTTGAGTCCATGTGGTTGAGCTAGTTTAGCATAGCATAGCCATCTGGATAATCTGCGTAATTTCAGTTGAAACGCCTTCATTTTAAGGATAAACAACCTCCGTTAGAGGGTTACAAGAATACCTCAAACTTTATAATGTTTTATGACATTATTTACAACATACTATGCTATGAATATTTGTATGAGTTGTATGATATTTTTCACGACATAGGCTACTAACTATAGGCCTACAATGACTGTTTTGACATTTTTCATCTTCTTTCCTCACAGTTTCTACATTTTATGGATTTTCAAACTATACTTTACTAGGACTGTTTTATATTATGTGGTATATTACATATTATACTATGACAATTAAGTGACAATAAGAAACAATATGATATGACTTATTTATGTCAGTATTGTATGGGTCATTCTACAGAAAAGTTGGAAGTACTGTCACTTACTTTTGCAGACACCAAAATACATGACGTTGACCTAATACTCACATTCATTATATATGTCGAATAAATAGAGATTGTCTTTGCAATGGTACTAAATAAAAAAAATAAAAATTGTTTTATACATAAATTGCAATTTATTTAAAATGCCAAGTTCAAGGAACTGCCTTGTCACTTTGATCATACATGGAAGTGGAGCCTATAGTTTTCATTTAAAATATTTTTTTTTCAATAAATAAATCTCATTCATATTTACATAACATTACATACATTAAATATAACACTGAAATGGTAAAAAAAAAACGCAAATTATTATTAATAATATCCAATAAATGTCAGTCACCCAAAATTACGTCATTGGTGTTACTGCTACACAAAACGCTTTTATTTTGAAGTAATGTACTGTCTCTGAAATGCCTCCTGTAACAAGAGATCATTTGAGGCCGTGCAGTGGACAAAGACATAAGGAAAGTCAGATACTTCTTACTTTGTTTGTTAAAGATGTCATTTTATCTTCAAATGTTACGTGCATCTTTCAAGTCTGTCATTAGTGTTACTCATTTCATAGCCCTAGGGGTGAACATTTGAATGGGAAAATGTATTGTATTGAAGAGTTAAACGATTTTGATATTGACTGAAGCCATATTTGGTCTGACACATGGCAGCAATTTTGTTAAAATGGTAGTGTTTTCTCCAAATTGTCACTGGTGTTACCGTCACTGGTGTTACTCTTCTCCCTGGTAACACGTAACACCAGTGACGTTCCTATATAAATAAGCTTTGTATAATGTATACAAATAATAAAAATACTTTAAGCTCTACTTGTTGTGGATTCATCAAGTTAAGAGTTAGTTATTGCTATTTAACAGGTTTTAGATGTGTTTAGAAGGAATATATTTCAGCAGATTTGTATCACCCAGATTCCACCTTTTCTGTAGAATGACTCACATAGCTTCTGGCAATTAATAATAAAAAATCGTAATTTAAATCTGACTGTCAACTCCAACAGTCTTTGAAAAATAAAATTATCATTTGGTTAAAATCAACAAAAAATGCAGCTTCAGACATTAGTAAACATAATACAATTTATTAAGTAGCTTTTATAAATTTTACATATTTTCCCCAGCATTTTACATAATACAGTTAGATCTAAATGCAGCCCAACATATACAGGCTATATACAATTTAAACTTTCTCCATAGGGAAAAAACACGAGTATATTGTTGCTTCTTCAAGTATCTGAATCCCTGTTCATTTTAACACATTTTGTTTTGCTACAATATGATTTCTTCAGGATGATTTGCATAAAATATTGAGGAGAAAATCAGTTAAAAAGAGAACTAATAGTCCCTGCTTTAATCATATTGCATCGAAACAAAATAATAAACAATTACGGGGTGAATACTTTCCAAAGTGGCCGAATGAGATATCAACGTGAAAAGAGGTCTGTGTAGTTGCCACCCCGATAAACAGCACTATACATGGTCCCAGAAAAAACAACTATATTATCAAATTTTACACTGAACAGAAGAAGTAATTCTCCACATGAAACAAGCAACAGTAAATCTTAAAATACAAAATCATTTTTAAATGTTACGCTTTACATACAAGTGATACTTTCATAAAGTATATTTCTTTAAAAAAAACATAATAAGAAAAAAAGCGCTTAACTTCTGATGAGTGCACTTGTCCACATCCTTTCACAGACGAGTACATTCAGAATAAATAAGGAGAACAAGTGCTACGCTTAACTGCTGCTCATTGAGGCTAATAGAAATGTTCACAGTGCTAGCTTTGGAAAAGAATAGTCTTGAAAAATCACATTGATTGAATTAATGTTGGGTGTTGAAATCACTTAAAACTCTGAGCAAAGAAATATTACATTCCTACTGCAACATGTTGAAGTCAGACAGACCCTCTACAGCTCGCTTTCAGGATTATCACAAATACACAGTCATGACATGCATTCACAGCATGCAAACACCCATACTACTACCATTTCCCCTTGAAGACAGCATAGAAACACATGTAACTATATTTTATGGACCTTTTTTTATGTATTCACATTCAAAATTCAAAAGCAATCCCTCACCTTGTAGCTTCTGAGTTTGTATCTCAAGTGTTTAGTTTTTAAACACACCACTGTGTTGTGACTTTTAGGGGGTGTTTGGAACTGATTCTGTTTGGCAAAAATATTTAAAACATATATTAGCATCTGTGACCAAAACATAGCTATATCCTAAATAAAGTAACAATCTCAGTGTCCACGATAAAAATACAAACCCTGACAAAACTGCATGTTCTTTTTACTTTAAATGGCCGTTGTTTGAATGAGAACCATCAGTATTATACTATAATAGAAGTTTTTTAATAGTCACAGGAATATTAGCATTACATTGAGCACAATCAGCCAGCAGGGGGGGCTATAGCTGTATGCAGCATCACTGACGGCTGATGCTCCGCTCAGGAGCTTTGGTTCAGTCCGGGATTTGACTCCAGCCCTGCAGCATGTGCCTCTGTTGAGGAGGAGCTCCTCTACATCACATTCCCAATGTGCTGGTTATGGCGGGTCCAGCAGTGATCCTACACTCAGTCTCACAGAGTAGCTTCTCCACTACATAATATATGTTAATCCACAGTGATAACCAGCTGCAAGTACCTCCATGAACACGGTGACATGCTGCAGACATGGACACTAGGCTTGCTATACCCAGATCAGATTTATTTGAAGTAAATCAGATTTGGCTGTTCAATTCAAAGATATGACATCGTGTTCCTTTTCTTCCACTCTGCGGATCTTAATACTTCCCGGACTTGCTCGCTGCACCCGCTCTCCCTTAAGGGTCCACCATGCTTTGTTTGCCATTAACATCTACACAACCATGTGTCTATGATTACATTGTTTACTAGGTTCTTCTTCGATTAAGCTATCCTAATTTTGCTTTCCAAGTGCAGAAATATTATGTAGGCACATTGACTGGTAAGGGGGTCACCGACAGATGCTTCAGCCCTAATGGACAGTGTAGTGGCAGCACAAGACTTCCCTTTATGCAGAGAGTGATGTCTTAACATCTGCCCACCATATATATTGCCAGACTTGCTCAAGAGGATTTCAATCATATCCCAAATTCAGGATAAAGATCTCAGGACACCGGTGAAAGACTCTTTAAAAAGAGGGTTTGTTGTAGGAATGTTCCCAGCTTTCCATCAGCTGTAATGCTTGTGAATGAAAGTCAAACTCTGGATCAGCGAGGGGTCCCGCAGATCTCCGGCCCTCACGGTGGGCTCCTCAGAGGCCTGATCTAAGGCCTGTAGTTCCCCCATATCGAGGGACGTCCCCTTCTCCCAGCCTAGCGGTCCTCTACGTGGGGTTCAGGCCAGCTTCAG